CTGCAGCCATCTCACCCCCACCCAACCCCTTAGTGTTCGACCTAAGAAAACTTTGCTTGATTCAAATCACAAATCTTTTCTCCCATGTTTCCTTCTAGAATCACATGGCTTGATGTCTGGCACTTATATCCAGGACTGGTTCCGAGTCCATTTTGGCACATGGGGCATGGTCTGGGTCAAAGCATGTGTTTTGCCTGCGGTCGTCCATCCCTTGCTCCGTCCACCCCTTTGTGAAGAGCTCTTCCCCTTTTGGTTAAAATCTGTCTGCTTGGCTGGTCCAAGTCCCATCCTGGCTGGAGTGTCCTCCCCAGCTCCGGGGTCAGGGTCGCTGCCTGCTGGTGCCCCCCCCATGCTGGCCGTGCCCCTTAGCCTGGTCAACCTCCACTGGTTCCTGGGGCTGAGGCCAGATCTCAGGGCCATGCCTGCCCCGCTCCAGGTCTGTAGGCCCGACATGGGTGACATTAACTGTCAGCAGACCCAGATTTACCGCTGCCCGCTAGCAGGGGCATGCCTCCAAGCCTGGTTGCAGATCGTGTGTGCTGTGCGGCATCCCAGGTGGGCCACAAAGGATGGCCGTGTGGTTGGTCTTGAAATGCAGGGAGAAGCTGCTCTCTTCCACAGTCCATCCAGAGTTAATGACCATTGTGTGCATATGGAACAGGAAATTGCATTTAAAAATATCTGTCTATATCTATAATTCTTCCATGATAACCCAATGACATTTTTTCTTCAAATTTGCTCGTTTATTTATCTATGGAGCAAAAGATAGGATGTTTATGTTTCCTCATAGAAGGTTCATCCAAGTGTAAGCAGCTAGCTCTTTGAGACTTTTTGTTCCGGGGGCTGGTGGCTGAGTTCAGAGGGTCGCTGTCCTCAGGTGCTGCCTGTCTGTCTTGGGAGCAGCGACAGGGCACCTGCCGAGGTGGTAGAGCCCCTCAGACTAGTACTAGGCACCAAAGGGCCCTGCCTCGGCACCTGCCAGGGAGCTTTGTCAGCCCGGACTTCTACCCCAGGTGGAAATCAGAGCCCACGGTGTACCTGTTCGATGGCAGGTGACAAGCCTGGGCAACCTCCCACATGTGAAGCCACGGTGTGGCCACATTTGTGTGTCAGAATGAGCTAGCTTGAAGGTCACTGCTGTTGTGCAGAATTGTGCTAGTCCCAAGACTGGCTCACACCACACTCTTGCCACTGGTCCCGGAATGGTCCAGCAGGTATTCTGTTCTTTGTAACATCTGTGGATACACTGACTTCTAACCATAGACCGGTCTCATCCCCTGCCCCCTTCCCACGAGGTAACTGCCGTCTGGGCCGCGGTGCGGAGCTTTGTGCCAGACACCTGTGTTTCTAAAAGATATAATTTTTATTGTTTTGTAAGTCATTATAAAGGGAGGCATCATACTTTATGTACTTTTGGACCCATTTTGCACTTATTATCCTCGTGCTAAGATTCACCAGTGATTGGCGGGTGCCTGTCTACTTGTGGGTGTTATGACTTCTTCCTGGGACTTCCTGCTGGATGCTTGGGGCTTGCTTTTGTGAAGCTCGTTGATGTTGGAGATTCTCCTGGGTGTCCACTTAGGAGTCAAGGTGCTGGGTCATCGGA